TTCGTATTTTTTATTTAATTAACGATCGGCCTAATTTTATGGACTGTGCATTACATTGTTCACACGTAACACAAATACCCCACATTTACATCTAAGGTTAAGTTTGGTACCAAGTACATGTAGTTATAAATATAATGATGGTGTCTTCGTCTGAAAAAGATATCTATTTGAATACTATTAGGCCTAAATTCCAGTCCACGTCTTTTAATCCACATGCCTATATTATAAAAGCCAAAGGGTTCACACTCAGGGATAAAGTATCCTCTTCAAGGCAAATTTACTAGCCTTGCAGATACACCCTGCAAGCAAGAAATACTCACTTCTCTATACTACATAAATAGAATATCGATGTAAATCCAGTATATGACCTAATGAGACAAATGTTGAGCGACGTCATCTGATGCATAATCGAGAGATTGGCGAGCCCACCGGCACTAAATATTATACTTAGTAACACAGCTAGAGAAAAACATGGGTTTTCTAGAGTCTTGAAAGTCTCAAGATATTTTCAAAGTACAAGAATTGTTATGTATGTTTAGATTTCAAAAAATGTGAGGGCCAATATCTCCTGGGTACGCCAGAACAGACTTAATACATTTGTAAGGGTGTAAAATCCATGAGTTACTCAAATAGAAACTATCGCAATTCTCATAACGTCTAACACTTGTGCCCGTGTAAGGGTGGGGAACATGTGGGATATAGGTACCTCTGGAATGCATTGTCATAACAGAATGGCAACATAAACACCATTCATATATTAAACATATGAAAGTATGCGTCATCTTGTTTCGTTTTCTGGTTTATTGAAAGATTTTTGCAGCTTCGGCATATTGGGGTTTTATAATAAGGCTCTGGTTACACTCTTGAAACATACACTTTATTGTTTTTTTGGATGCGTTTTTTGTGATATATATAAAACGGACTAGTGCACGTTCACGGCTATTATATTTAAAGTGACCGTTATCCGACCACCATAGGATAGGATTACCTGAATCATGATATTTGTTTGCAAAGAAAGGTGAAAATGGACTTTCCGATTGAAAGCTGTTCATTCGAATGTGACTTGTTGGCTTATATGCCCGTGACTATCGATAAGGAATAGCTGTATTATTTAGGTGCGGGACAGCTTATCCATTAAATTACGGGTAAACGGGGCCAGGCGATCTAAAGTTCAATCGAGTTGGTCATGATTTACGGGGAATAATTTGCAATTGAAAGTTGAGATAAGTTGTTTGAATAAGAGTTGTGAATAGCGGAATTTAATGCACAATTAATACGAGTCATAGCCAGTCTATTGTTTAATCTCACCACCTCAACCTATGTGGCATGTTGAATGGAAATAATGGCTATCGGAAATGTATCATCCTCTTTATGAGATCAGTTAAAATGGATGAGACTATGGATTAATGGAAATTGTTGCCTCCTATGTCAAAGTCATATCTATATGAGTACTCTGCGTGGTTTCATCCAATCCCGTAGGGTTAATTAAGTGCCAGGTGATTGCTCGACTCCTCACCGCCTCATGTTGGCTTTGTAACTACTGACCTTATCCACCAACAAGTAGGCTTGCACGTAATTTACGGATTTACGGAATTACGTAATTATTTGGAGTTACGGAAGGGAAGTTACGAATTACGTAAAGTCGTAATTATTGCATTGAAACGAGCTTTCTTCAAAGCAGTCAATTTCGTCGATTGCGAAAAATGAAAGCTCAACGAGTAGAAGAAGTTAGAGTTCCGGTATTCGCAGCCGTTATTCTCTCTCTTGTTACGTAGGTGAAGGAAGGCATGCCGCGTTGCCATTTACTAACCTATTATCAACTTATCTGGCGTGGCCAATGTAAATTATTAGTTAGTTAATGGGGGAAGAACTGAGTAGGGTCGTTTGACGTCAACACACCTGGTTTTAACTTCTCCCGCAACTAAACCATAGATAAGGGATAGAATTGTGTTAAGACCGATAGACGCTAACACGCCCGGTTTCAACTTCTTCGGGTGAAATGACTAATGAACGCAGGAGATCAATCTATCAAACATGGCCTATCAAACATTTGTATCCATTTTACTTTTATTTATTATTTACTTGTTCCAGTTTTCCGTTACTTATGGTATATATGTTCCGTTTCTATTTTATATTCACGCGTTTGAATAGTGGGAATTCCCCGCCAAGTGTGGATTAGCAATGCTTAACCATTCTTTATTGTTAATATCAACACTTGATATATGAACATGGAATATCATATTGTTTTTGGCTGTTTCATTTCAGACTTGGGGTATAAACAGGAAAATATCCATAACCTTTCAACACGAAGATCTTGTGAAATTTAACGAAGAGCTTTCGCGACGAATTGGAACCAAATAAGCAAAAAGAGCGATTGATCACTCGCGCCAATACCTCGCCGTGATAATTAATGTGCGCTTATCAAATAGCAATTTGACGACAAAAGAGAGATTGCGTAATGAACCAAAACGACGGATTCCTCGCGGACCGTTGAAAATTTAACTGCTATCATATATAATCAAATATGAGCCTGTGTGTTTATTCTGTGCGAGATCCATTTTCTATTACAAAATCTTGATGTTCTGTTAACGGTTTTATCTTATATATCAGTCCGAACTTGGCCTTGCTCATGATGTTTTTCACAATTCCTCTCAATATTTCGGCCATATATGATTAACTGTCTTACCAAATGCGGCAACTTATTTTGATTTATCGTCGACTTGAATACCACCGGCACTCGACCAAACTTTTGTCAATGTTGGCCGATAGGATCGCCGACTTGAGTTAGCAAATAAATGTTGTGAGTGTAAAATAAATGTCACAAAATGCATTGTTTTGCGATATAACTTTGTATTTTCGGAGAAGGCATGTCATATAAGTTCGGTATTTAAATTATACGCAAATAAATAATATTTGATCTAAATTTATCGCAAATAATGTTATAAACATTCAGTCCGCGAAATGATTGAATGTAAAATGAAGCATGGTAATCGGAATATCGTCAATAAGTCGACATCAATAATTATTATTATAAAAATGCTAACAAGGCATTAATGTCGGATAATGCAGAAAACGCTGCAAAAACAAGTCTTCGTCGCGAGGAAATCGCAAGTATAATCAAATGAGAGAATACGCTCGTCGTTGGTTAATAAATTAGAAACCCGTAATTTTTATTCAGTACTAAGGTGGTTTTAAAAAACTATCGTTTCCATAAATATCCGTATACCAGTGTCGGTAATGATAAAATAAAATTGATCGCATAAAAATGGGACGGTTAATTTGCGAAGGTGATAAAGAAAAACCAAAGCTAACACAAAAGATAAAAATCAGAATAAAATTAATTTGAATTCACTCCTTGATAGTTGTCTTTAACATCTGCCGCCGGCGTGTAGTACTGCCAAGAATAGAAAAACCCAACTTCAATATCCCATACGGAAAAAAAGTGGATTCAATGGGTTGTTACGATAGGTTTAAATGCGTGGAAAAATATCGCAATTACGGGGTCATTACGTAATTGATTTTGCCGTAATTACGGAATTGATTTTTGTCAATTACGTGCAAGCCTACCAACAAGTCCATGTATCTGAAGAAAAATAAACTGGCCAACTAATCTAATATGTGACCCGCTGACCGGACTAAAAGCCGTGTTTTCTCACAGGATTAAGCCGTCTTATCGGGTTTCATCTACCCCCTGTAAATATGTAAATCCTATCCTATCTTACAGTACGTAAACATACATGTGTATTTTATTGTGCGCGATTGGTGGCATGGGCTTTCCGAATCAAATAGTAAATTATTTGAATCGGCTCAGACGAAAATATCCAATTGCCGCCATCTTGTTTTGTTTTTTTGTCCACCGAATGTCGTCGAACCATTTTTGCAATTCTGTCAGTTATTGATGTTGCATGTTTTTATTGTGTGAGATACTCGGCTAACTATCCAAGTGTTAGATTCTATGTTTTTCCTAATTGATGTCATATATAATTACATTTATTCCAAGTAGTCGAAATTCAATTTGAGAAAAAATTCATTTCGATTATAAAATGAATACAAACAGGTATTTAATAATGCAAGCCATAGTCACGTCTTCACGCCACGTATGTATTTGAAAGCTAATTCAACCATTGTTTGTCTTTAATTCAAAGGCAGATTATTGCATTTGAAAACGTATATTTTTGTATATTTATCATCACGTGTGCATGCAAAGAAACGTAAACGGCTGTTGTAAATAGCACTAAAATCGCGACAATGTTTGTGGTGCTACAACAAACACAGTCTTTATTTGACGACGATGAAATTCAATTTACGATTCTTGCGCCACAAGTTTTATTTTAATTATTCAAACAGAAATATTTCATAGACAACGACTAGAGCAGGGGTGGACGAAGCTTTTTTGCAATAGCCGCATGCAGAAAGTATTATTTTTTTTTTCAGAAAGTGTCATTGTAACAAGTACAAATCGTGATGTCACATCAATTACTATTCGCTATGATAGTGTCGAATGTATCGGTGGCTGGCATTGTTGAACCGTAGATGAATAAAATGACGTTAATATTAATTTAATATTTAGCAGTTTATGTATTTTTTTAGTTTAGGTTTGAAAATATGCCTAAATTTTATATCTAATTTTGATATTTACAAATGCGCAATTCCACATTATAATTTTCTATAGTGTCACTAGCCCTTGATATTTTATTGGTCGCATTTAGTTTCGCCTGAGATCATATCCTTCGATTTCTTATTTATTTCTCGTGACGTTGCTCTGACCAGATATTATTAGAAAATGTCAACCGCAGCTGACGACTAGCATTATTGTTGACTGTATTAAGTTTTTATAAACTTCTCTCGTTGAAATCTTTAATTCTATCAAATCTGATCAGTCCGTCTGTCTTGAATTTCTTTCAATTTTGGTATTTACAAGTTCTAAATATATGATTGCGCAGAGCCTGCATTGCCGAACAGCACTGCTTTTAACTCCTTTATATGTATTAACAGAAATTTAATCATAATGAATATATCTATGCCAAGAGCAAAGCAGAGAGACCCGCTAAAGCAACTACCTTATTACCATGGCAAATTATCTCGCCACCTAGCGGAAGTACTGTTGATGTCAAATGGCGAGGAAGGGAGTTTTCTTGTACGACTCGTCAATATCGCCGCAGACGAATATTGTATTAGTGTCAGAGCTAAAGACCAAGTCAAGCATTTTAAATTGGTAAGTTTAAAGGAATATCTTTTTTCATCATATTCCCATCATCGCCTGTTTTAGATTTTTATTATTCCTTCCTCACTATGCACAGGGAATCCTGTTTTGGTATTTGTTCAATCGATTAAGCATCGTTAGCTAGTGTTACTTACAGATGACACTTCTTGGGTTTTAAGCACATACCTAACCCACGGTATAATAAATTGGGCGCTCCAGAAGTGTGTGTACTAACATGGAGGTAACTAATTTTGTTCGTCTATTTTACATCAAGTTGTGTAAAGGGACTGAGACCTACAGGCATGGGGTTTATTCACTTGGTTATCACAGACAGTCCCCGAATTTGTAATATAACTAAAATAAGGAAAATCGGAATAAAATTATTGCCTAACCTTAGCCTGGTACACACACACTATACGAGAGTGCCATAAATTTGGTAGGCAATGCTAGAACCGGACAAAGTATATTAAGTTGCCTTTACATATCTTCATTGTACCCTGACTATTGCACAGTTCGAATAGGTAATACCGTGCCCATGGATATGTATTGCATTAATTTAAAATGAGTAAACAATAAAAGTGGAACCTCACTCGATGTAAAGCGATATTTTTGTACTTTTTTCCCTAAAATATTAAAATGCCTACATGTGGAGAATGCCCCTGATTCCCGTATTTACAATCCCATTGTGAGAATAGGTAGCACCTTATAAGCAAAAATAAATACTAATAAAAATAGATTACGTAAATGGTTGGTGCGTGGGCCAGTGACGCCTCCAAAGACATCCAAATGCCCTTTCTGATATAGATTTGTATTGCAGATTAAAGATGGGATGAGCTATATGTTGGGATTTGCCGACTTCGAATCTATTTCGTTACTTCAGTCTTACATCGCAAATCAACCGGTACTTGGAAGCAGGCAATCAGATTTGGGAGATAACTTCGAAAATGGAACCATGGTCACTCTGAAATATCCTTACCCGAATCATGTGGAGGAACCGCAAGGGTAAGATGTATACAATATTGCATGTAATTTCCTCATTGTGGTGCTCGGAATTTTCTTATCCGGTAACTCAAAGATCTTCTACTTCAGAAAATCTGGGGGGATATATTGGTGGTGTATGGAGTCAACATTTTTGTAAAAGTGAAAAATCTGCTAAACTAATTTAAAACATCTCATATAATATGAAAAGTCACTCCGAACATTTTCTAGTTTTCATAATTTTTGAGTTGTTCCGTATACATGCACTCCGAGCAAGGCTTTGTACATGTAGTCACTGGCTTTGTAGAAACGTCATGAAATGTGTTTTTCGATCTTATTTTAAACTAGAAGACTTCTTGATGAACTTCAACTTATTCGAGGAATTTCATTCACTGCCATAGTTGTGATATTAAAACATAAAGCTGGCAAACGATACTGTCGATAAGAGAATAGACCGATATGTCGATAGAGAATAGCTTTAATCAGGTTGTCTATCTTTATTTGGAGATTATAATAAGCAAAACATTTGAAAATTTAAAAAATTAAAATATGTAAGAACTACTTGATAGTTTTGCCCCATTCCAAAATCATGTTTCGAGATCAAATTCGGAAAAGTTTTAATTCGATTAATAGTTGAGCGTTCGTCCTTGAAATGCTCACGATGCTGTTCAAACAATTCGGACATTATGCTACTTGAGTCTGTTTGTGGAGTCGTTATCTACTCAACGCCCAAATATAATCACTGATAATTATATGGCTTTTAACAATTATTTGTTGTTGGCTCATTGGACCTGCCACGACTTTACGCAGAGTGTAAAACAAAAAGATGTCGATACTTGCAAAATATAGTGAATCTCTGTGTAATAAATCTGATTTTTCAGAATACTGTCTGTAGCAAGATTACTGAAATGCCTCACGAAAACTGCGATATTACTAATATACATGCTATCGATCTGGGCCAACCTCTTATCCTTTTTCTATGGCAGTTGTTCTAACCCTTTTCGTTGAATTACTCCTTTCGTCTATTTTGGAATTCTTTTTTCCTCCCTCACTATGCAAAAAACTATTCATTCATTGTTTAATAGATCCCTAGTCAGTGTTATGCAGAAGTCGCACTCCAGTTTTTGTTCAGTTTAAGTAGTTTAAAATGTGTACATACAGGTATTATAGTAACGGTGCTCCTGAAGTATGCGCACCAAGATGTCACATAACTTGAATCCTAACCTGGTACACAACGTGAGTTCAGGTGTAGATAGTGCACATACTTCAGGAAGTCCATAGTAACAATAAAGAAATAAAATTTATATCTGTAATACTACAGCAAATACAAAGAAAAATTCTTCCCGGGCTGGAAAATGTTGTTTTATGGTTATGATATTATCATTATAAAATTTCAATACATTTTCACAGCTTTGATGAAATTCGCATGCATTCCACGATTTCAGTCGATTCAACAGCAAAAAGTCTCAAACAAAGAATCAGGGCAGTCCCAATGGCGACCAAATCTGGATATCTTACAAAAGAAGTAAGCAAAATGTCGTATTTGTAATGCGTCGTAAATCAGTTTTCGTCTTGGAAATGCCGTATAACTAAATTTTGATCATGAATCACACTTCATATGCTTAATATCTCCTGGATATCTCACTGAAAAAAAAGGTTGTGATACGGCGCAAAGCAGTTTAATATCCGCCGTGGAGATGCCGTATAACTAAATTTTAATCATGAATAACGATCCATATGCCTAATAAAACAACTCACTTAAAAGTTTTAAATCTCTCGACAGAAGGAATTACATAAGAATTACAGAAGACCAAAACTTTCGTTGTCGTTTACGGCAATTTAACTGGTGTATTTTGGGCGCTCCAGAAGTATGTATAACTAATTTTGTTCGCCTATTTAACATCAAGATGTGTAACGTGACTGAAACCTATGGGCAGAGCGGATATTCACTTGACTAACACAGACAGTCCCCGAGCTCGTAATAGAACAAAAATAAGTGAAATCGGAAAAAAATTATGGCCTAACCCTAATCTGGTACACATACTACGAGAGTACCGTAATTTGGATCCAAAGCGCTTTAAGACAGTAAGGTCAAGAGAATACTTCAAATTTGGGACCTCCCGAAGTGTGTGCACCAAAATGGCGCACAACCTGAACATAGTATGTGCACTAGGTTAGGGATCAGGTTGTGCGACATTTCGGTGTACATACTTCGGGAACACCCAAATTTGTGCTGAATTAATTGGAATAAAAATATCTTCTCAGGGAGGATCATTTAAATCATGGAAACGAAGATGGTTCGTCTGCATCAGGAATAAACTCAGTTATTTTGAGAATAAAGATGACGGGAGGCTGATCAGTACGATTGATTTAACTGAAGCGACTCAGTGTGGAAGGACAGAACTGCCAGGTAAGTTAGCTCGCTAGATTCGGATACTTTCCTCGTGCAACAAACTTTGAACATTTGAACAAAAAATAAGATTCTCGAAAATATCTACTTCATTTCAACTGCAATGGACGTGGGGTTGCAAAAGACTTTCAAAGTCATCGAGTCAGGGACACCAAGAAAAGCGGCAGCTATCAGGCGGTATTACACCAGCCATATATACCCCTTCGTAACCTTTATAGATGCATTATCCTGAATGAAAATGCGTACTTTCTGCCTGTGGCAAGATCCTAGTACCGCTTTACTAATTTGGGTACTCCCGAGGTATGTGAAACAAGATGGCGGACACCGGAACGTAGTATGTGTACCAGGTTAGATTTAGGCCATAATTTTATTCCAATTCCTTATTTAAGTTCTATTACGAATCGGAGGACTAGTCAAGTGACTCCCGTAGTATTTGTACCTGTAATTATGACCTAACCCTAACCTGGTACACATAATACGTTCCGGTGGTTGTCATCTTGGTTCACATACTACATGAGCACTCTTTTTCCTTCTAGGTAAACATCGCGAGGTTTAACGTCAATCACAAGTCAGCACCCACAAATTAAGTCATCTTACAGACTTTTTATTGGATAATAAATAATCTTTCCGAGATTAAATGAGCAGTATTCCACTATCAAGCATTGCAGTCTGTTTCGTGTTACACATCTTTAATGTCATCTATAGCGTGGAACCAACGGTAACATGCAAGACATCGTTCAATTGTGAAAGTGCCGAGACCACCGATGCGCCGTAAAGAAGCTTCTTTCCTAATTAGTCCCCAGTGTTATATATAGTCGATGCTTTTTTGTCGATTTTCCATACTATCTTTAACAGAGTCCTGACTCAATTTTCTTCAACCTTGTTGATTTCAAATCTTGCACACATTCGTCGTCCCACTGATCTCTTTATAATGAAGTCTTCTATTTCTAGGAAAAGAAGACAAATTCACATTTGCTCTCGTTTGTAAAGTCAGAACCTGGAATTTCATAGCAGATAATGGAAATGATATGCTGGAATGGCTTGAGCTTCTCTCTTGGAAGATTCGGCAAAATACACTTTGAAAGACCCCTGACTATAAATAGAATAGACTTTCACCTATGCAAAAGACAATTATAATAATACAATGTACGGTGCTACCATGTCCTGTGATCTATCGCCATAGACCGCCCACCCAAATGCAGACTTAAGTCCCCTGCTTTGGGGTTAAGGGACAGATCCATGTCATAAAATGGTAACTAAATTAACTGATGTTCATCAGGAATGGAAAATACAGTAGCAATCTCACACTATAGTAGCTAACAATAAGCAACAAAAAACAGATAAAAAAATTGTCTACGCCTCCCTTTGTGGCCTTCCTTGCCGTTCAAGAATCACCGGAGTAGTACAAAAAATACAAATACCCAACGACATGACAAGAAGATATAGTTGGATCAACAGAAGCTTTTTCATATTACTACGATATATTATGATATAATTTATAGGTATTACGAGTGTTTGACTTTGTCATGAATCTGCGCCTTAACTTAGGCCTGACTTTGGGATCCATTGTGGGTCTATCGAATTCGTAACCATATATTTACTGTATTCAAATTAGTGATAATAACTTATAAATTGTCAAGGTAAATGAATGAATATTTATGAAGAATAGGATCGGTGCAAAGTGCCTCTATGTGTAGCAGATTGTAAATCTCGATTATTTGTCGGATGTAGTACATTCCAGAACATGAAAGTATAAAGTTTGAAAATACCTCGTTTTCTTACCATGCTAAGATACAATCAATGATCTATCCTTGTGGATTAGAGACTTCCGTAGTGTGGGTACCAGGTTAGGGTTAGGCCATGATTGTACTCCGATTTTCCTTATTTTAGTTTTATCGCGAGGTCGGTGACTGTCTGTGTTAGTCGAGTGAATACATCCCCTGCCCATAGGCTTCATTCCCTTTAAACAACTTGATGTAAAGTAGACGAACAAAATAGTTACCTTCATATTGGTACACACATTTCTGAAGCACCCATAATCGTTCAGATATAAATAGTCATTTTTTTAATAGAAGCTTTAATTTGATGAATTTTTCTGGCCGTTTGTCTGTTTTTCTGAAACAAATTTATCCGTGAATACTCGGTATAAATTTTGTCATATTGTACAGCTACGGCAAGAATTTTCAATAATTCAACATTAGCAATTAAATAATGGGTCATGGTTGTTGCGTTACAATTAGCAGACAACGTTGCTATCGTCAGGAAATATGACGCGGTTAAGAAGAACTTCGGACCCCGAACAGATTGCTGTTTTATTTGATATTAAACGGAAGTGTTGCTAACCACTTCCTGTGACAACCTATGTGTTTAATTCAGTTTAAGTTTTCTTGGTGTTGACGGTGCGTTTTGGTAATTATGTGTATTAGGGTTTTATCAATTGGTAAAATGCGATATTAAAAACTTTTTCACATGCAGTCTTATTACTGCTAGACGAGCCATACTGCCATTGAGTCAGTAAGTCTGTAGCTTTAAGCTACATGAGTACATAGGCTAGACCAGGGATGTACAACCTTTATTGCAAGAGGGCCAGATACAAGTTACTAGGGGACGCCGCGCGCGCACCTTCACTTGAGATAGCCATTCTAGTAGTTGCAAGCACAAATAATTGACGACAGTAAAATTTTACTGCAAACTACTCGGTATTATCATCCGACAACTGGAATTTCCAGTTGTTTTTTAAGCATTCATCAACGTTCTCCTTAATTAGAAAAAATGAATTTTTTTGCATGTGCACTAGCCATTTTATGCGCATATGATGAATTATAAAATAAATCTGTCTTAGGCGAAACGTTACTGAATTTGGATTTTGAATCGCAGAAAGTATATTACGTTGTTAGAATTTAGTATTCTCAAAAGTCGGAGTTGGAACTTTTCAACGAGATTGCAGTTGTTCACTTATAGTAGTTTGCTCGCAGTTGCCAACAGAGTCAGTTTTCAGAGACTGCGATTCTCAAGAAGAATTTCTTTTTAAATTAATATTTGTTCCTACTCTGCAAATCGCTTATCATATTATCAATTAACTTTAAAATTTTGCTTCAGTATTTTGCAACGTTGTTTGCATTTTAAAACTAAAGACATGTCAAAAGAAAATTTGTATGAGAATCCTTCAAATCGTGGCAGTTTGGAAGCAGGTAATAATGTATTATGTATTAAAAGCGTTTTACTTTTTGTTTAAGAAAGATTTGGCCTGAACCAAAAAGTAGTAGCTCATGGAAGAGCAATATTTCCTGGAATAATTTATTTCAGCGCTTGATAACAATAAAGCCTAATTTTATTGGCTACCTAGGAGCCAGTGGCGTAGCCAGGGTGATTTTGCGGGTCGAAACCCCCCTATTGAAATGTAAATAAAATAAAATCATTTTTTTGTATCATAGATAGCCATTTTCCGTAGCTTAAAATGCTTTTCGAGACCTACAAGACTAATAAAAACACACGTATTCTAGCGTTCGATGGGTCCCGCTAGCTGTTTCGATCTAACTTGACAAATAAATTTCAGAACTCCCCTCTTTGAAAATTTCTGGCTACGCCCCTGCTAGGAACTTAGCAGGTCACGCGCACTCTTTCAAAATTAAAGAAATCTCATTTGTGAGCGGAATTACGGACGACCTTTGAGGTACCAATAGCATCTGAGATTAAAAGGCTGACATGGGAAAATTCGGCCCGCTGGGTAATTCAATCTGGCCCGCCTGATCCCGCCACAACCAAACTAAAACCAAATTTCGATGTTTTAGTTAAAAAAACAGTTCAAGGAATTGTTGAGATTGCGATAAAATTTGGATTTTGGCAGGAGGCTTAATGTTGTTCACTTTTTCCTTCGTAACACTGTAAATATTGTTCATAAAATGTAACTTTTTATGTCACATTTACATGGTCCGCCAGTCCGCCAAATTGTTTGGCCCCCTACTTAGAAACCTTGTCCGCCCAGTATTAAATTCCCAACTAGAATTGAATTCCTCCAAACCAACAAATTGAGCGTATGCCGTATTTCATGCAACCATACCGACCCCAATAGCAGATAAATGTCCAAATTCCAGTAAGAAATTCTCAATTAAAGAACTCGACAAATTATTATTTAGAAACCAGCGCTACGAATAACCGTGATGATGGAATTATTGATGAGCGAGATGTCGGTGAGTAGCATAAATCATGTGTGGGAATATTTTATTCGATTTTATATCCCGTTATATAGAATATAGAGTTTAAAATTTTGCTAATTTTGTGTCCCGTTCCGAAATAGCGCACTTTTGCGAATATACTCTGGGCGAAACTGACTGCTGTGTTGTGTAGGGTCCAAAATCAAGATATGATACCAGATATAGAACATTATTATCTATGAATTTCAAAAGATCAAACTTCATCGGATGAAAGTCAGAGTTCCGACGAGGATGAAACAGATCTGGACGAAAGCGATAAACACGAGGATGGAAAGACTTCAATGAGACAAGAAATCCAAAAACTACCTAAAAAGAAAAGACAGAGAATGGAACGTGAACTAATGTTTGGAAAATTTACTGCAGGTTGGAGAATTATACCAAGAAATATTGGCAACAACATAAATATAAAAAAAATTAAATTTAAAAAATGACTTTGCAATATTTTTATGCCGCTTTTCACTCCTACTATACTCTAATATGCAAAGGATGAAAGAGCACTAATAACTTTATTTGGTGGGTGCAGTATCGGATCACCACCGCCTACTTTGGTCAATTATTCATATCTTTGTCGCTGTTTCAATCGTTACACTTGGCATCTTTTTCAACCTTTTCTCTTGCTAATGGCATCAATTTCTTCTCTCATTTTTTGAACAACTGATGAAATGCGTACAATTAAATATAAAGCATATTTAGAAATGTCCTGCAATCTTGAAATATTTCTGCATTAACATGACTGAAGCTCTTGAATGCAATTTTTTAGGTAACGTTCCAGCATTTAACGTAATTCAATATTTCAATCTTTCAGAAATAGGCTGGAAACTGATTCTATCAATCACAGTTTACGTGTTTGCAATGTCTGCTCTCGTCGGCACATTTGCAGTTTTTATATTTGTAGAGGTAAATGAATAAAAACGTTTTTCACTTTTGCTTAAATCAGAGGTCGTTAACCGACGGCCCATGAGCCGAATCCGTAACATATTAAAAATAGAATGATTTCTAATACGAGCTGAAGTACTATATGTGCATTATAAAAATAAAAAGACTTCTTCAACTGAAATGTAAAAATTGCAAACATACACATACCGTTCACATACTTTGCTGGACACTTTTATGTTGGATTTGGAACTTGAGTATAGTTTTGACTCACGGCACAAAAATGTCGTAATGTCATACATTTGTATCACGTTAATGCAGAAATAAACACACGATTCTAAAGTTGCGTCTGTTGAACTAATTCTTCCTCTTCTACATATACAAGCTTATTATCGAACTTTTTGTATTTCCAGGGAAAGGATAGAAAAGTGCCCGGTGAGTTTTACTGCTTAATCCAAAAACAAAACCATGAATCGTTTTGTTAATTTGTTGTATAATTTGTTGTATGCTGTTGAATCTTTTTCAACATGTTAGTAGTGAAAAACAAAACTTTTGTTTAGAATAAAGCCATATATACACTTATTTGCCTGTGCGTTTCTATGGTATTTCTTCGTATTTTAAGTAAATGACCAACTTGCTCGATTTTCGCTTTTGATTAAATTATTTTTTGAATTTATTGTGGCTAGCAATGAAAATTTATTTGAGCTGAGGCGTTTGCATTTATTTACTCGTATATTTTTGTTTTTAAATAAATGCCCATCGGTCGTTTTTTCGACAATGGAATGAAGTACGTTCACGTGGTAGCAGTTTTCAATACCACTCACTTAAGCGTTTCGCTTTTATTAGTAAAATTATTTGGATTACTGAAATACTTTTTTTTATTTTAAGGTCCCCCAGCGTTTCCAGGTAAGTGATTACTGATTTACGTAGAAGTAGCAAACTATGTAGCAGTGTAAATCTTGAGACATGTGGGACAAGTATAGGACACGATATTTTAGAATTTAGACGGGCAGACTCTAGAATTAGCCCCGGATATTTACTTTTCTTGGTAACTTTTTTGTCGCTAAATAATAATTAACGTTTGTTTTTAAATAAAATACGGTAGAACCATTGATTGACAATTTCGATTATTTTTATTTTCCCAAGCAAGGTCCCGAACCGTCGAAGTGATGAAATAATCAATTGGGCAATATCATCTCCAATAATTTTCTTTTTATAATAGTAATACTCATTATACAAACTTTTCTACTACACAATCAACTCACGTTTGTTCATTTCACATTTCAATTTTTTCCATTTATGTTTGCAGAACCCGATCCCGTCATAGAGAAAGCAAATGGTAAGAATTACATCATGAAAAAGTGTATTTACTCTTCGGCAATATTCGCTGTTGAATTGTTCTCTGATAGAGTAATTAATATACGTGGAATGCTATAATATTCATTATATTAGATTTTACTATAATAATATATTTATTACTATTGGCTCGAAGCAAGTTTATTACATTATTTTCCACGGGGGATATACACACCTTAGCTCCAAACAAGGATTCAGATGAGACATTGAAATGAAACAATTTTCGGTGCTCCCGAAGTATGCGAACCAAGATGGCGGACATCGGAACGTAACATGGGTAACTGGTTAGGGTTAGGCGATAATTTTTTTCCAATTTTCCTCGTTTTAGTCCTATTATCAGTTCGAAGACTATCCAATAGCCTCCCGTAGTATTTATACCTAAAATTATGGCCTAACCCTAACCTAGTACACATATTACATTCCGATGTCCGCCATCTTGGTTCGCATACTTCGGGAGCCCCCAATTTTCTGTGCTACTGTTGACAGTTTTAGTAATAGTTTTAAAATCCTATCCTCGGAATGTCTCTCGTTACTAAACAATCAAGTGCTTTGTCATTGAAGCCTCTAATTACCTCAAATATAATATGTTATAATTAAGACCGTCCGTCTCGAAACGCTGTAATGATATGTGAAGCTTAACATCTCTAAATATTACATGGTAAACTGATAACTCGCAATAGCATTCAGAAAAAGTATTATTTTATTGAAAATCTCAAAGTCTTTAAAATCGGGAAACCTCCTCTTGTATTACTTACTACATATGGCTGTTTACGAAATAAATTCACGTAGTGAAAAAAAAAATCCTTAGTTGCCAAGGATTGGCGTTTTAGTTACACACACAAATAATTCATCGCAGCTTATTCTCAGTTACCAAGGATGGGTGTTTGAGTCACACCTAGACATGCTTTATTACAGCTCATACTTTTATTTACAGAAATGTATGCCGACCTCAATAAGAAGATTGACGGTAAGGATATATTACTAACAATAACTCAAAAAATACAAAATTTGCCCTTTAAAGTAAAATGAATAGTTTCTTAAGATGTCAGAAATATTGATTGTGATTAAGTATTTCTTTCGTCAGTGTCAACAGAGAAGGACATTAATGTTAGTTTCGAGGTTTTGGCAATTTAGTAGCCAAGTATCTCTGCTTGTAAAGCCTGTTGTATTAGATCAAATTGTCGAATTGTCGAACTCTGCCCCGTCGCGTAGTATGTATTCGATATTTACTCTACTAAAACATACACTTATTGGGTCATTGATAAAAGTAACAAATTCAACAGAATAAAGTATAAATCCCAGCATGACTGAAGCATAAAAGCGTGTGTTTGCTGTACAGTATAAGTAATTTGAACTTCCATTCTTTGAATCTTTCCAGCCATGCAAAAGCGAATCAAAGAGAAGAAAGATCGTGTTATCAGTGCCATAAACAGTAAGTTCGTTCGCAACAATATGTTCTCAACATGAAAACCATAAAAATCTGAAGTGCAAGAAAAGTATTTGGTAGAACAGAATTTAGCGAGAAAAAATGTGTTTAAACACACTTACTTAACCGCTCCCGCAAAGGTAAATTGTTTTAATTGCAATCATTTTATATTTTTAGATCAAACAAGGGAAATTATGAAAAAAATGTCAGGTAAAATATTTTTATTGAATTCCATTTTTTATAACTGCTTTTGACATTCATTTCTTTCGTCAATAACACATAATATATTTGTAGGTTATGAAAATCAAAAGAACTCTTTCCAATTTTGATTAAACACATTCGCGAATTCAATTTTCATGTTTTGTTACATTCTATGTTAGCTTAAGCCCAAGTTTTTAACATGTGATTCCAGCATGCTCAAAAATCCAATACGCCCCGAATTCGGAGACGTTTGCACAGGAAAAGCGAAAATAAATATATTATAAAACTAATTTTTTACTCATAATATATTCTTTTTTGCGTATCTTGATTCACATCGCAAAATATCAAAAAAAATATTTCTCAATAAATATTCACAGGAAAGCGTTTGGTGGAAAGGGTTAAGCGTAAGTTTCTGTTTCATATAAATTCGAAACATCTGATTTTTATTCCCCATTGAAATTCTCTCTCTCAAATTTAAATTATGTGTGGAGTACAAGATATCGAAGAATAAAATTTGATGGATTTCTAGTCAAGATAATAAGTATTTGTACAGTGATTCGCCCCAATCTTACTAAATTTAGTTCATTTAACCTCTGCTATTTGACGGAGCATTCTTAATTGTTTTCTCTTCATTCGATTCTCGCGCAGTATGTAACGCCTTAAACTCATTGATTTCAGTTCATGTCAACCTCTGTCATTTCATTATTTTCCTAGAATTTATTTCTTATTCAGATGTCTCAAAAAACCTTGCGGCTCGCATGGATGGTATGAAACTTTTTGCGGTATTCTCTTTATATCTATAAATTTTTCAATTTCAATTTCAAAAGTTTTATATGACCACAATCAGTTGCACGAAACGTATGCAAGTTATTCTTCCTAGTTTTAATATAGTACATCATAAACACTTTGTACTTTCTTATATTACAGAAAAAGAAGCTAAATTTAAATTGAAGTTACTGGGTAAAGTATTATCATCCGAATAAGTTGCAGTTCGAAATGTAAGATAGCACTTACAAAAATGGTAGCCAAGGTTCCCGGTTCCACACTAAAAATGACGGGAATAATAATGTGTACCTCCTTATGTATGTATGTATGTATGTAATGCTCGATAGCGGACGGTTCATATCATTTAAAAGTGCTACCAATTCAGATTGCGAATGTTACATTTTGTAACTAATTCTTTTCTTGTTTCTTAGTCTCCTCTCTTTGATATTACGAATAAGATTGTATTATAATAAGCAATAACATCGTAATAAGCTATTCCAATAGTTATAAACTCTTTTTTATTCAATAAATCAATTGTATTCGAAATAATTAGTTTTATATAAAAACAAAGTCACACAACCTGCTTATATTTAGAAACTAGTAATATTTTATTTTCAATCCAATTTTTATCTTCAATCACTTATCATGTTTTAAGAACACAAGACCGCTATTGAACAACAAGCAAGAGGTAAATCCCACTTTTACTAACGTTAGGCATTCATTTTATCAAGACCCTGTCACAGACGCCATTTGGAACGTGAGTCCACAAATCAATATACTCGGACACATGCAAGAGCGTAGACATAGATAACAGTGGCTACATATAGAGGCCCTTGTTTGCAACTGAAGGCGTGAATGAGCGTCGCATCGTCATATAAAACGAATCTTCAATTACAAACATTTAGGCTTAATAATTCATTGTCCCTTTGCTGTTCTCTTTAGAGCACCAACAAAAGACTTCAGCAACTTTGGCTGGTGAGTTATTATTTGATAACGAGTGAACTTATGGGTTAATTTGCTAAAACTGTTATGGTTGTTGTTGCTAAACATCGCTAAAGGCTATCGCTTAGCCAAATTTACAATAATGAAGGCACGGGCAAACGGCGAACGATTAAACGCAGCCACAAGAGCAAAAAAATGTTATTTTTACCCACGAGATCGCCTTTTTAAACATAAACTGTCGAGTTAGAATTTTATGCTTGAAGAGAGAAATTAGAAATTGGATACACTAAACAGTTTGGCCAGCCGGATTGTGGCTCGCGGGACGCCTGTTGCACACCAGTAATATAGATTATTTTATATGACCTCTAAACTCCGTGTCTATATCTGAGCTTTGCTCATTCGTTCTAAGTTTGCGCAGTAATGTGATTATTTCGAGAACATTTGTTTTCAATAAAAGCATGCTTTTATTAATTTGCGAATGTTGATTAATTTAATTCCAGCTCTTGATGATAGCATAATGACTTCTTTCACAAGTGAGTTCCAATCTTATTATAATTTTACATTCCGCATTTTTCTTATGATTGTAGAAGTCTCACATCAATCGGCTCACATTGACGCAGTTTTCCCTTAATTTTATATCGTTTGCTTCTCAGTGATCGCCCACAACTTTGCTCTGCACTACTCAGTAATTGCTAGTTACCGTATTTGAACAAATTATTTCGAGAAGAGATTTATAATAAATACGTTCAAATATGAAAAGTCATTTTATTCGTCTTTTAGCAATTTAATAATTATTTATGCTCAAATTCGATCGTTCCGCAAATTCTAATGCAAATACTCTTATATACTTCTGTAACGCATCTTTTCAAAAGCCAGTATTATTAACTAGCAGTATATTTTATCAAATTTTAAAACTACGAAAACCCATGTTTTTTTTTCCAGAGCAGGGGATGAAAATAGATGAGGCCACGAGAGGTAAAGATGTCAGACTATGATGTTATTTTGCTCGTCAGAATTGTCGAATGTTTTTTAAAAAGATGAAACCTTGATTGTAAATTGAATTTTGATTCAAAAATGAATCGAATAATAAACAGCCGTTGTTGTGTGCACCTATTTGCCATTCTTTCCACTGCAAACAAGTCTTTGTACATGAAGCTACAACCCACTGACAAAGTAGGCACTACATTTATGAAAACTTGAATCTTCCCGGTTATCAAACAATTTAGTAAACCCTGAGTGAGGAGCATGCGACTTACCAAAATCTGTCGTCTGTGCCAACAATGTCTAGTCTAATCACAGGACCAAATCCCAGCGTTTGTATTAAATGGGATGTAAGTGGATAGTACGTGGCCGCTTCTATAGCCCGATGACAGTAAGAATAAGATCTTTTGTTTCAGAATTGACCAATGAGTTGGTGAATTCTACATCAGGTATGTAAGATTTATATATGCATGTGATAATTAGCAATGGATGTTCGTTCGAGCAAAGATCTACTGCGTCATTTTTGTGACAAAAAGGTTTTCTTTTGATCAAAATTTCGTCAGACATTTAGGCAGATATCACAGTACTCGTTAACTCTCAATCTAGTATTTTTGAGTATTTCAAATTATGTTTTTCAATTTAGATATAAACTGACTCCGGAATTTAGTTCTGATTCATTGAGCAACTACCATAAAATAAAAAAAAATAGAAACTGTTGCCATCATTTCTTATTTATGGCGGCTTAAAAAAAGTTCAACACAACAAGTGAATATTAAAATTGGCTTGTCAATACAAATCACTTCGAAAAACAATACTCAAGTGTATTTCTGGTGCCGAGGGAAGGGAAAGTCAAAGGCAAAGGAAACATTCATTTCTCCTAACACTGAGATAAAATAATCCCTATTTTATATTATTTTTAATTTACAGAGCAGGGAAAATTACTTGGTGGAAAAATGGAAAGTAAGCTGTTAGAGATAATATAACAAAACATACATTGTAATTGATTTAATAATTTAGTGTTATCAAATTTGACTGGTCCACCAAACTAGGCGAAGCAGATCAAAAAAAAAAAAATGCATTAGATGTAGACTCGATTCTGAAAAACTCGATGATTTGCAACCAATAGAAGGGACCCTAAATTTGAAACTGAATTTCATTTATCCGCGTGATCAGACTATTCTCTTAACGAAAACGAACTAGAACTCACAATTCTTGATGCGAGATACAACAGAAATAATTATAAACCAAACCACACAATTGACCTATTGATATTTTATTCGTATCTAGAAGTTTTAGACGCTGTCAATAAAGGAATAAATGGTATGTAATTCTAAATCTATTCTATATCGATTTTTCATCGAATGCAGTATAACGCGTTACATACAATTATGTATTGAAACAGACATGGACGCCAACTACACAGCTCAAATTGGGGGTAAGACTGTCTAAATACAATACGAACACTTTAAGCTTTGTGATCATTTTTATAGCTTTACTAAAAACGCAAATATGCTGACAAATAATTGCGGTACTAAATACTTAAACACATAACAATAGACACGAGATTATTGTGATATTTGAGGCCAAATTTACAGTATTGCAGTCTTTTACTTGTCAAGCTATTAGTTTTATTTCAAACAGGCTTTTACGGTAACATTGAGGGCAACATGTTGGGTGAGTAGATGTAGATAGGTTTAAGAAAAAAATGCTTTTTTCTGTTGAATTTCGGCAATAAACATAAAGTCATATGAACATTATAAATTCAATTTAACATTATTTTGTTGTGCAACATATTTCTAACTATAATCCATCCAAAACGTAGCCTATACAATCAATATAAATATACATGATGGAATATTTGAATGATGCTGTTCGTGCCAAAAAGAGTTCACTGTCACATTTAGTGCCATAGTCAATAGTTGTTGTAGCATCTGAACGTATTCAATTTTTATTCCAGTTAACTTTGCTTAATGTTATAGATCCCGCATCTCTGGTGCAACCCCGTTCATCGTATATTATATGTGGGCTGTATATAGGATATTTATATTACTATAGCATTACGTATGGGTTGGTCTGGGAATTATCTCATTTTCAACCCTATGGTCGACAGTATTGCCATTCCATATCCCTTTGAAGAATATAAACATCGACTTCAATTTGAAATATTTTGCAGGTTTTCTGACCGATATGAGAGCCAGCATAGCTGGTGAGTAGTTTAATCGGAATTTTCTGGTTGTACTCCGCGAAATTGTTCACGAACTCTGAACAACGCTGTACTCTGGCAGATATCTAATAACTAGTTTTAACGGTAGTTGAAATAAAAAGCAACGTCGTCTATATAACTGTGGCTTTCCCTTATTTTATTACTATACATATTGAAGTTAGAAAATGTTCAATTTTAACAGGAGAAGCGTTGAAAGTCAATCAGAAAGTATTGGGTCAGTATGTTATTTAATTGATACAACTTCATGAAGTGCGACCTAGCTATGCAACCAGTTTAGATCTTTTCCGATTCCGCGTTCATTCATGTCTTTTGCTCTGAAATAATGGTATTATGCAAGCTGACAAGCTGATATCTGACGACATGTTAGCAATGGAATCTTTCCGGTTCGGCATTGTCCACCCAACCCGTTGCGCCCTAGATGGCGGGTATGGGATTTGAACCTGATGTCAACACAATTGAGTCTCATCATTTACCGTTCGGTCACCGTGCCCTCATGAAAGGGAGAGAGGAAGTCGTAACATCTACACCAAGTTTGACTGTCTTTAATTCGTCGAGTAAAATTAACTAATGTTTGAAATTTTTTCACAGCTTTCAAGAATACAATCAATTCTACGACAGACAGTAAGTGCTGCCAAAATATAGGTCGTATAACCTATGGGTGTCAAACTCGCGGCCCGGGGGCCGCATGCGGCACCAGAGAACTTCCAAGGCGGCCCTTGAACGCTTAACAATAAATGTAATATATTTTTGTTATCTAAATGTAATACATTCTTCAAGCCTTTTAAAGTGAAATTGATTATTCACATAGAAAACGACAATTTACTCAAAGTTTTATCTGTTTTGAACTCTGTCGTATGCATTATATTTTGGAGATTTTAATGAATTGAGACACTATGATTATTCTGCATTAGTCGATTCCGACAACATAGTTTAAATTTTACTTTTAAATATTTTTGAATATCTTTATTTTTGATTTTTCATGGTTTTTCAATTATAAAATTTTATAACACAGGGATTGAAAAAAGTCTGGGAAAAAGGAAATCAGGTTGGTTTAAAATGAATTTTTTTAAATTCAAATCTACGTTAAATAGTTCTACTGTGATTATTACTATTGGAAAAACGTTATATGTTTGCCTTGCAAGAAAACATAGAATGTTGGCATGGAAAGTTGCGCTAATCACGTTACTCATATTTTCGAGCAATTTTGTAATCCGGTAATCAGGTCGGTCTTCTCTGTGGCAGTCACAACCGTAAAATAGCAAACCGAATTGTTTAATAAATTGTTTATTCGCACTTTTAAGTAAGTTTTCACATTTTGTTTTATTTTCAATCAATTAATTTCAGCACAACACAAAATTCTTCAGAATTCAATTGATAGTGAGTATTTTGTCAATATTCCTAATAATGGATGAATAGATCGTGAACCCGGAAACTATAAATACACAACAAGAATTAATTGATAAATCATGGAATATGAACGTAATAATGGCATTCAGCTGGGACCTGACGTCATATTTACCTTGCATTTATTCATTTGAAATTGGACCGTAATCGAATATTTTGACACATTATCTGAATTCAATGGTTTTCCCATTCACAAAATATATTATGTCTCACTTAGTCACACCGCCCAAGCGCTGAAAACACCGACCGGCCATAATTACCTAGTTATGCTAAAAAACATGAATTGGTAAGGATTTGAAGTTATGGCCATGTAGTCAAATTGTTTTGTATGCAAGACTCAATAATTGTAAACAGTTTCTGTCGGAAACTACTTCTCTAATTTACGTTTTTATTAACAGAAGCGATGCATGACGTAGCAAACGTTACCACGGGTGAATGGTTTCATATATTCTTTTTGATGTGTATTTTTTTATGGTACTCGAAACTTCACAATAAATAAACAACACTTATTTAACTAAAGGAGTTGTAATACATGAAAATTTTCTCTTTGCTTATATACCAGATTTCTTTAAATTTCCAACTAACCTCGTTCTAGTATTAGGTTAGATAACGACGGATTAAATCTTGAAATTTATACATACCATGTTATAAAATACGTGTTGTTTATTTGATTCTTTTTATCACTCAATCTCAAATATAACAATTTTTGTCAGAAATTGAAGCGAATATTAAGAAGACTTTTCCGGGTATGTATTGCTAAATATGGCATATGTCTTGCATGACCCAAAAAAAATTGTAGAAAATCTTAAGTATAAGGATATAAACCTATTTTTTCAAAGCACACGTATTCGAAAAGGAATTTTTAAATTATCATAGAACTTGGAAGATAGAGATATTAATGATGCTTATTCGATGATATTTTTACAATTTCGTGTTTAGCAATGCAATTATTATTTAACTTAACTTTAATCTAAAAAAATACGTTGAATTTATTTCTATTACAGAGAAATTAAAAGCGATTAAAAAGAAAATGTTGGGTGAGTGATATCTTTAAACGAATCTGTAGACAATGATGGTTCGGGCCATTCTGTTATCAATTATCTTCCCGATGCTCCACTATTAACCCATCATTCTTAACATGTTTTCAACTTAAGTTCATACTCATTAAATTTGTTGGTGCCAACTGGAGGAAACACCTGAAAAGTCATCTGCATATCATCGAATATTTGTGAATTATTTTTTCAAAAGTTGCTTGTCCATTATGTGTTTTTGCGCCTCAAATTTCTTACTTCCACATAAAAAAAAGATATGTTTGTCATCTGTGTATCGTTTGATTTCTTTTTACAAATACCAAGAGTGTTTTTATTGCCATAATAAGTCTAGTCTAGTCCTTTTACACCAAGTCATCGTTTTTGTAAGTGTAAATAGAACTATACACTAATCGGGATGAAAGAAATGACGAAAACTAGATAAAAGGGAATTAACTTAATAATAATATTTATAGCGATGAGATCAGTATAATATGCAGTGTTTATTTGTGTTACTTTGTTATTCTTTCAAAAGCATAGAATGTTTTATCATCAGAATCATAACTTTTTTGCTCATGGTGGAATATAAATGAAATTATTTGCAAATCAGGATACTAAATTAACAGAAATTCATGTCGAAAAATAAATATTATATTTATACAACTGCTTGTAATAAGCAGTGTTTATTTGTGTTACATTACGGCAGTCAAAATTTCTGGATGCTTTTTTATGTTTCAAAATGAAAATGTGTCAGAGTGAACACTGAATAAATTCTTGTTTTCACAGCCAAAGTTCTTGACGTAACCGGTGAAATGGGAGGTAAATATGATTTGCGTTTACTTCGTTAGTTAACGGGCGCCGCTCCTGTGTGTACCAATATTGGAGTAACTAATTCTGTTCGCCTATTTTACATCAAATTGTGTAAAGGGACTGAAACTTATGGACAGGTGGATTATCACTTGGCTAACACAAACAGTCTCCGAACTTGTAATACAACTAAAATTATAACCTTACCCTAACCTGGTACACACACTACAAGAGTACCTAACGTGTACCGTTGTAAAAGTCTACCTGGCGTATTCTAGTCATAGTCTAGATTTGTATTTAGATATATTTGCTGATGTTGCAGTGGGGTTCATATCTTTGTTATCCGGAGTTGTGAGTCTTAGCCAGGTCAAATTTTAATGGTTTAGTATCGTGAGTTGGATATAGCATTCATCCATCTCCGCGGTCCTGAAGATGTTGTAGTCGGAGTCATTTTGGTTAACCGGAGTCGTGAGTTGCAGTCGAAATAAAAATTTAAATGGTTCAGTATCATGAGTTTGAACAAGCATTTCTCCATCTCCACGGCACTAAACTTTTTTCTAATATCGATCAAAAATTATATATAAAGTTTTGTAAACATTTTTCAGATTACAAAAACCAAACAGTGAAAGCGCTCGAAGGTGAGTTATTTCATAATTCTACAAAGCGTTGGTAACGCGAGTTGGCAGCCATGGAGTATTTGTAGATGTATACGATACTTATATAATAATGTATTATAATAATAATATTTAGCGAAAAATACACTTCATGGACTTTGAATTCATTACATGACTTATATCCTCAATACTTAGTTTTTGTTCCCGACTTAACCGCAACCTTTGAATTGTGATTCAACATTTCCTGTTTAGTTTATTAGGTTATAGAAGTTATATAAGTTATTTAGTTATAGAAGTTTTAGAATAGGAAGATAAATCTAGTTCAAGGTCCTATCTTCTAATGTAGAATTAACTTCAATATCCGCTTGTTTTCATAGACACCGATCGTAAACTAAAACAAGAACTAGCTACAGGTAAGTATGGCAAACCATTCGAATAACCTTTTCAAATATTAAAATGCGGCCACACTAGGCTTAATTCATGGACATTATAGAAGATTTTGTTTTCTAAACTTTCTGTCTTTGATTAAATAGCCAGTAGATTTTCCCAAAAAATGGTGGTTCGTCAACAAAATTTGTTTGCTTACGTTTTGCGGAAAACTTGTTTCTTCCCCGTTATATAGTCAGTGTCACCACTTATATATTACTACTACCACTTGAGGAACCCAAATCTTATTTTGTACAAACTTGCAAGCACTAAACATTTGCGTTTTTTCTGCTCCAATTCTAACTAAATCACATTTTATAGTGATGACTCCAATGGCAAACGACTATGACACAAAATGGAATGGTGAGCATAAATAGGATACGGTTTTGTAATATTCTTTTGTAACCGTTCTCTTAACATAGAATTAGCTAATGAGCTAGGAAAATTTTTAATCGTAAATTTACTTATGATTTTTCCTTTCACTTGACCACCAGTTTCATTTGTTATGTAGTTTCTCTAATACTAAATATATCATCGATTGCTTATTAATGCAAATCAATACGCCTGGTGTCTATTATCAGAAAGAGATCATTCTTGCGCGAATTATCCCTTGCAATTGAAAATAAAAATGCTTAATGATGCTACGTCGAAATAAGTATCTGCAACGTGGGAATGGTCTGCTATTGCTCGGTTTTTGTCAATGTTAGAATTCCAATCATAATTTCACTGATTATATGCATTTGTCATTTTATTTCAGCATTCAAAAAAGACATGACGTCAGCTTTAGCAGGTATTCAAAGTTTATCTATTTCTATTTACTATATGAAGCGACTGCTAAATCTCAGATAATTCTAAATTATAGGGAATATCCGTGAAATAGTGAAAATTTGAATAAACAAAATGAGTGTAATATTTTCGAATTTTCCCGATAAGAGCCATTTGCTTTTAGTACTTACCAAAGGACGCGGATATTGTCTAAGTGATGACATTGCATTAGAAATTCACGTAATTTTAATGTTTTACCATTGCAGCAAGGTTCTCATACTTATATCGGCATAACAATCTCTTTATCGTCCTCATGTTGACTGAGAATTTCTTCCCACTAAATTACCATTGGACAGCGGTAGACATATAGATAATTTAGTAGAATTGTGGATATTCTTGAAAGAAAGTCAAAGTTCACTTTTCCCTTCAACTTTGATAATCTCAGAATATTTTTAATGCAACTGACAATCCGCAAAAAATTGAACACAAAAAATTCTGTAAAATTATTAAATAAGCGAAATGCGAGTAATACTTTCAAATTTGTTGATTGGGGCAGATTCAGATCGTACAAAGGAAATGCATATCGTACTTACTATCGTAGTAAATATTGTACTTGAGTGATGACATTGCATGGCAAATTACTGAAACTTTGATATTTTCTAGCTGCAATATAGCTCTTATATTTAATTCGCATCTTCTCTTGGTGATTGGTTATTTCCTCTTAGTAAATTATATTTTTATTAGATATATTGGACAATGATAGACGTATGAATCACTTGATAGAATTGTTGATATTTTTTAAATAAATCAAAATTAACTTTTCCTTATAACTATACTAGACCAGTGATTCCAAACGTCTTTTCAAGCGACCCAAATTTTTGTAAAAAATCAATTTCGTAAAATATCGCGAACAAACATTTCAAAATTAATTTAAATTTTCAGATTTCGGAACAGCTGTTGGTAGCAAATTCGAAGGTGAGCAATTATAAAACAAGAATTAATTTATTTGTAATATTAGATTTAAAAAATGATGACGAGTGTTTTTTTTTATACGTAGAATCGACAAATAACATAGCTCTGTTCACTCGCAAGCCTACTAATAGAATTAAAATGAAAATAAATAATATTTTGTTGGAATAGTATCTATTATCTAAACCAAATGTTTGTAGTGGAAGAGCCTATCTCGAATATATATATATCACGGAAGTTCAACAACTAATTGCAGTACCGGTAGCCTGCGCGCAGGGTTGCCAGATCCCAGCGATCAAAAAAGGCCAAATCAAGACACAAAAAAATCCAGAAAAAGCCAACAATTTTACCAAGTACAAAAGTCCCATGATTAGTCAGATTTTAAGCCCTTGGCAACGTACTGATTATGATAAAGACGTAAAGCTACCATGCCATTCAGTGAGGCACACAAATAGAAAGTAAAGTTCCTATAGAACTGTAGAAGGTGAAATAAATATCAAGTAGACAGATTTATTTTACCATTCAATATATACAAGACAGGGTGCCTCTTCAGCATGTAATATACCTACATGTTTCTACTTAAACTTGTAATATACCTTAAAAAATTCTCCCTATATTGTATCTTATTATAGAAAAAATTTCACTTTTTAAATTTATAAATCATCAATTTTATTAAAATACTATCTAACGCCGTGCCGCTCACAGGTGGACCACTGATATCTAATTCAGTAATTTTAGCGTAGTTAATCACATCGTTCGTGAGAGTAAATTTTGATTACTGCAATTGCAGAATTAAACTAGAGCTCACATAAACCATACCAGGCATAATGAAAATTGAGTTATACAATTAATTTTTGGAAACAGAGTCAAAAACTGACAAATAACACGCAAAACTATAAAAACAAGGTAATGCTTACAACCCCGCTTGAACATCTGTCTGAGCAGCTGCAGAAACTGCAAATATTTCTTATTTGGTATGGTTAAGAGTTAATGTAACAAACAAGGGAATAGATGCTCCAGGAAAGCCTGATGTTAAGTAGCTAAGTACAGGTAATAGGCTATTGTTCAGTTGTCGAACACTAAATATTGTATTTCATATGATTTTAATAATAGACACTAGTATAGACTTGAAAAAAGCCAAAAAAAAAAAACGCCAAAAAGCCAAACGGAAATTCTGACGCCAAACGCGTTTGAAAAAAGCCAAAAATGGCAAATTTGGCGTTAAAGAAGCCAATATGGCAACACTGCATGCGAGACTGAAAGGTGATTGAGATTTCTAAAACGAAGGAAGTTGTCAAGTAGATGATCACGCGTGAGAGAACAAAAACTGTGTTTTTGGTAATTAAAACAAAACGTCGAAAATTTCGATGGAGTGATGGATCTCATAGGAGGGAAAAATTCCAAATATTCTTCTGACGACAACTCACGCCTTAAGCTACTAAAAATAGTAAATCGATTGACTCATTAGTTGCAGAAAAAGAGATTTTCTGCTGCAAAAGATCACACCAATCAAGTACAAGACGACTACAATTAGGAAAACAATTCATACGATCATTTGCAATACAAGTAGGGAAGTAGTCAAGGGTATAGAGACGTACCGAAAAGTCTCTCATGTTCGAATAAAATAGATAGCACATAATTTTTATTCGCATTGGTTCTTTGTTTTGCAGAGGTGAATAAAAACGATTTAGCACAAAGCTGTGACGAGACCCGATATGGAAATGCTTTGACCTGGGATACTAACAAGGAAGGGGCGGTTTACAAACTGACATTGCCAGCCTTTCTCTCTGGCATAGAAGTCTACTGCTCAAATCACAAGGGTTGGCTGGTACGATTGTTGTTATTTGTTTTGTTATTCATATATTAATAATTTTAAAATACATTTGTGTCTTTCACATGCCTATTGCGCATCTCTCATCCGAACTTATGATCATCTTCGGTCGTACAACTGGCTGAAAATAAATATGTTGGACCTAAGTAATAATTTAAGCAATTTAATTTTGAGGAATTCAGAATGTCAATAAATTTACTGTTTTACTATAAACTTCTTATTTCAAATCAGAGTTTGTTTTCTATATCAAAATGCGATGTATTCAGGTTCTGATGAGATATGAGCCAAATCCTGACTTCTTTAAGGATTTTACATTAGAACTGTACCAAACGGATGTAGGAAAGCCCGCTGAAGATAACTACTGGATTGGTAAATATTATCAGTACAAAATAGCTTTTGAACACTACTATAAAAAATGACGTTTTGAAGAAGTTCATGATTGCTTTATAAATTTGCTCAAGGCAAGATCTTGAACTTTATCTAAAAGTTCATTTTTGTGCAACCACTCGCATGTTGAAAACTATTTATACATTTCATTTTACAAAGACTACAGTAAATACAGATTGTATTTCAACTAAACGATAATTTGTTGGATGCGACAAACTCAGTTAAAATTATTAAAAAGAGGTTTATAAAAGAACTAAATAGTGATAAATTTGAAACACGAATATAGCTTCATCTGCTTGACATTTTAGCAGTGAAGCGGTAAATTGTAGCTTTTTGTTACTGTTTTATAAATATACGTTATTTGACTTGTTACCTCGCTATAGTACATAGAACACGAACGTGCAATGAATATGTTCGTTTGTAATATATTCTTCTTGTATCAAAGGTCTGGATAATATGCACAAGATTACCTCATACGGGAATTACAAACTCAAAATCGAACTTACACCAAAAAGCGGGACTGTGATAACTCAAGTTTACGAGTAAGTTTAATTGACTGAGCTCCATGGCTATACACTTCTAGCGTTAATGTAGAAATTAAAAATCATGATTTCCCACTCGTTCAAGCTTCTGATAACTCAAAAACTATACGTGATTTCTTAAATCAGTTATCTCGGTCTTCGTATCAGTGTTTAATTGTCTATTCAGTATTGAACATTGTTTGTGGCAAAGTATTTCATAAAGACTGTAGAGTTATGCTCAAATTTATGTACGCGAATGGCTACGTTGCTGTTGGAGTCATCAAGAAAACTACCAAAACGTGCGGGAATATGAAAGAAAACAAGGCAGCAGAAAAGACCAAAAAAAAAAATTGGAAAGAAGTGCTGGGATCATCTAGCGCCCATCAACGGCATAAACAAAAAAAAACGCCGGGTGCTTGAGTTCTGGGTTTCAACTATCAGCGGAAATCCTGATACTGGCTTGTGCAGTATATTTGTGCATCGCTCGTTCTGCTTGTGATTTAAACCCAGTAAAATTATCAAATCAGACAAGTAGCTTATTAGTTTTTTGAGAGAATTTCAGCTTATCATGAAGTGGTTTTAAAAGCTGACATATATAACATATCTAAGCTGCGAAGTAGAGGAATGTGTTAAACTCTTCAATACCCGATTGATTGGGAGGGATATATAATTTGGTCAACCGAAAAAATAATCATTAATACAAAAAAGTAGGTAAAATAGTTTTGGTATCGACAGTTTAAAATTAATGATTAGTCTAAACTCAATGCATTTGCTATTTTACTTGAAATTCAGACTTTGCCAAATGATATGCTTTATTGTTTCAGATCATTCAGAGTGGGAGACGAAGCGTCCATGTATAAACTGACTATTGGAAAATTTGATAAAACCGAATCCAATACTTTGGTGAGTTCACTGTTTCTTTGGTGATTATATTTGTAATTAGTGGAAAATAAGTCCATTTCTGTGTCGGATGAATAACAACTAAACGGGTATTTGTGTGAGTTCAGTACAATTAGATGCTTCTATCATACGAACATTTTCATACAAAACGAAAGGTCAGATCGATCTCCGTCCCGGTTGGTGTGGTACTCCCGTAGTATGTGTACCACAATAGGGTTAGGCCATAATTTTATTCTGATTTTCCTATTTTTTAATTCTAATACGAATTTGGAGACTGCTTTTTTTGGTCATGTGAATATCCCCCTACCCGTGGGTTTCAGTCCATTTACACAACAAAATTAGTTACCTCTATATTGATACACATACTTCTGGGGCGCCGTTGTTTCTATAACCCACTCTTCAATAAATAACATGTGAATGGCAGACTTCATTTGAATGTCTGCTCACTGTTCGTGACTGATCCCAGACTAGATCTGAAAAGCATTTTATTTTAGACCAGACAATGAGATTTTGTAGCGTTCAAGCGATTTGCTTTCTTAGACACGAATTGAATCTATGGATTATTTTCTTATAATAATTTTTTTAGTATTTTTCATCTTGTTGTTACCGTATAAAAAAAGTGACTGAAAATTGTATATTTCGAAGGCTATTGTATTTAATCATTTCCAAAATCTTATGTGAGATCCTTGGGATTCGTTCTTTGTGTGCAATGACGTCACAAAAATTAAAAAGTTCGCACCTTGTGGCGGTTCCGCCTTCGCGTTAGCGAAAGGTTCGGTGAAATGGTGAACACTGCGGTATGGTAACGGTAGTCTAATTGTGACCCTCTCTTGTTTGTCTTTCAGATCGGAGCAGGTGATTTCTCGCAACACGATGGAGCGCAGTTTGTAGCCACGGGAGGAACCTGCGCTAGCACCGGAGGTTCTGGTTGGTGGTAAGACAAAATTGTTTTGTATCTGCATAGGCAGCAGCAGAAACTTTATTTTCTTTATGTCTGAAACCATTCTATGGATTTTATTTTCTTATTGCATTGCATCTCAAAAAGCCCTATTCGAATATTTCTGCTCCATTGAACCCTCTGCACTCAGCATTAACTTTTGTGAGTTTTGCCATTTGTGTAATTACAATTAAATTGTAGTCTCGTTAAACGAGTAACTAGTAGCTGTTCACTAAATGCTTAGGTTAAACGATAATTTAGTTTACACATATCTCACAATAAAGTTACGTCCAGAATATATTCAACTCCTCGCGCTTTATTTTACTCTGCGCGTCGGATCTGGCCCGCGTTCCGTAGGTGGCCGACCCCCGGTCTAGTAGTTGATGAGAATAGCGATTGTTTTTCTCACAAACACGAAAAAAATACAAACGATTCATAGTGCATTTCGTGTTCAATAGCGACAATATTGCTTAAGTTATGCAAACCATTCCAAAGCAGGTTACGGCGCTTAGTCGAATTCAAGTTACTTTTTGTTGAATGAACCAAGTATTCACAGATCCGTTATTTGTATTATTATATGTTTGAGAAAGCCATGACTTTACGCTTCTTACACCATATTTGTATCGCATTAATACGAAGCCTAAACGCAGTAAGATTGTACGTCAAGTAGAGTGCCAATCTATAGCATGCCTTGTTTCGAATTTTGCAGGTATTATGTAGGCACGAAGAACGGTATTCAGTGTTTCCAAGTCAAACTAACGGGAACAGCAGTGTATGCTGACATAGCGTCCAGGGGAGTTAACAGAGATGATATTCATGCAGGCATGGGTATGTCGGCCACGCAGTAACGTTCCTTTTGGTTTTATTTCACAACTAGCTTGCACTTCCTATACAGTCTGTTTATTATAATTTTCCATTAAGGTAGAATACGACATTGCAAAATCATTGTGAGAGTTGGCATAGGAAACACTAATTGGACTCATACTAGAGAAATCGTACATACCTTGTTGCCATATAATTTTGTTACCATATAATTCATCTGAGGTTTCTCTTTTTTATCTAATTTTATTAATCCCCTATGGTTGTGTGTGTGCGAGTGTGTATAATTTGATTCAATAGTTTTAGGTGAGCAAACTCGCACCACTTCTTTTTGGCAATATCTTCCATCTTATATTCTGTACGTTTTAAACCCCATCCAAGGTATTGTCAACTTTTCTGATTTCATAATCAGTTCTTATTTATTTGTTTTTATCAATCGCCGTTTGTGCTGATTATGGAGTCGAAATAAATTATCTTATCTACTTCAACTATAATTTATGGGATTGTACTGTAACCTATTCATATTCATATTTTAAACCTATTCATATTTCCTCAATCATCCTTAATTTCAACATTTGTGAGGATAGACAATCCAACCAAAAGTTTTGTAAGACACGATTTTATACCCGCATGCACCAGCACGAGCAAATCTAACGGTTTGACTATATACACAAGGTATGCATGTCATTTCCGTCAATCGTTCAATATTCTCAACGGTCGACCTAATTACTTATCGATTTTAATCGGTAAGTATGTTGATAGGTATTTATTTGTCTGTCTGTTTGTTTGTCTGTTAGATGCACGCGATATCTCACGAAAGCGAGATTGAATCTGCTCCAGATTTTGCATGTGCATTCATCATATGTCGTACCAGAAGCCTATTGATTATGTCGTATAATTAGCAAGTTATTAATTAATTAGTGATGGGACACAAGGTGTCACTATGGAGTAAGAGCGCTGTTTTGGTATCCCCTAACTTTCGATCGATAAGTCTTCGGTCTCTGACCGATATTCTCGTTTGTTAATTGTCAAGTTAACATTTCACCTAAGGCTGTTTCAGTGTATTTCATTTTTAATGGTTGCTGGCAAATTGCTGGAAGCCTCAAAAGATGTCGTGATAAGCTTGTTTTGCAAGTTGATCCATAAAGTAAATTCATTACACATTTTTTATGTTATTAATTTTATCTTCTAAATTCCGCGGGGCGAGATAAAAAAAAACGTAGGTGTTTCAGGACAAAAAATAATAGAGAAACGCTCGACTAGGGACTTGTTTAAAATCAAAGCTGCAATTGAACTTAACATCCAAGTGACAATTAATATTTTACAGGAGTCTACAAGAAAGCAATGATGTCCATCAAACTTGTAAGTAAACAAAAGACTCAAATAAAATATTGATTTATTGAGTGCATTTTAATTGTGTACTCTTATAGTAAAAAAGGAATCATTTTTGATGTGAAGATTACATGATTGAAAATATAAAGGAGGCAGAAGGGAAAATATGGGAGTCGCAAGATTTTGACCGGTATCTGCCGGTTTATTTGTGTTTATGGACCATTTGATTAGTTCATTTTAGTGTTGCCTACCATGATCTGAACCCAATTCATCAAATTGAATGATCCATCCGAGTTTCAAATGTTGAGTTTCAATTCCAGCAACTGCTAGTTGATTGTGAAAAAAGTGAAATGAAGTAAAAATTTTCTGAATTTTATTCTTTTGCAATGTTAACCAGAGTACATCTTTTATTAATATGAAAAATAATAAAAAGTTCTCACCCCACTCTGAAATTGTCGTTCTCGTTTCAGAACAAGTAATGATAAAGAGGTAAAGAAGAAGAGTTAACTATGACTCAAGATGACATTTTTTTTGGCAAGGTTTTTTTTGCAATTTAAACGTTTTACATGCTTACAAATGTGACAATTCTAAGTTGTGAACTTACAATAAAATTATTTTTCGATTGAAAGTGATAACTTTTGCTCGGTATATACGAATTATTGTATTGTGTTCAATCTGTATTGTATTATGTCCACTAGTTGTATATTACTGAGGAAAGTGACAATTAAAAATTCGTGACAAGGTTTATTTTGTATCTTAACGTTTCACATATTTGCAATGCCAAGTTGTGAATCTGCTACTGAATTTTTTGAAAGCGGCTTGATCATTACTTACTTGTTTCCCCAAAATAAGAAGGGGTTTATTTTGGGGGATTGTCTTTTATTTTCATTTAATAAAAACAAATATACAAAATAGAACATTACGAGATTTTTAAATATACTAAATATAAAAACCAATGTCCATTTATCTATAAATAACACGATTTCATTTAAAATAACTGCTATTTTTCATTTAAAACGTATAGAAGAGATTTCTTGCTATCGACTAAGTCAAAAAAATGGCTAGGTCTTATTTTAGGGAAAGGGCTCATGTTGAAATCATTTTTAAAGTTCAGGCTATTTTGGGAAAAACACGGTATATTGGGTCAACCACACGTAAAATTCTAAATGTCACGTAATCAATGCTCATATATTAAAGTTATTGTGTCAAATTCACAGCCAACAAAGGTTTTACTTTTTCGATGTTGTGAAGTGTTATTCGTATTGTGCAGTTGTGTTGTGATTGTGAAATAAAAATATCCATCAACGATATGCTCAATGAGGAAGAGTAAGTACAACAGTTTGAATAAAGTTTCCGTTATAGCCCTATTTAATGATTATCACCACATTCATGAGAATGGACAAAAACTATTTGGGTTTAAATGGAATATAATCGACCTGTATAAATAAAGTAGGATAGAGAGCTCGTGGCGACACTTGTATTAGTTGCACTGCCAGATTTTTGGGACGTGTAAAATGTAACATGCACGAATTTTCACATACAATATTGTATAAATTTAGAATTTTTTAAAGATGATTTATGCCCTGCATGTAACTTCCAATTTTTACAAAATATTTTATAAGTTGACAGGATTTGTTTATATAATCTGATGGTAAATTTCTAAGACTTTGCTTATAATGTTCCCTGTTTTCTTTTTACTTGCTGATATTGATTGAATATTCATTTGTGTATCAACGTTTATCACTATTGCTTTGTTGCGTTATTTTACACCATCTCTCAAAATCTATACTATCGCCCTTAACAATCAGCTCCCGCTCTAATTATTTAAAATATCAGTTTGTGAACCCAACAACAGAAAAAGTAAACTTTTCCACCTCTGAGTACTCCAAATGAGAAAAATATTTGTTTACTGGTTTTTATCAAATCGACATCAACAGCAATTAAGCTAAACGATCGATAGGGGTTCATAATGATACAATTTTTCAAAATTTGAGGATGTTGGGACTATTTTTATTTGAACGATTCATCGTCAAAAGATTTGATTTTTACCCCCATGCTAAATATCAGGCAGTCAATGACGATGCTGATATAAAGTTTTTGTGTCAAATCCACAACTAACAAAGGTTTTACTTTTTTGATATTGTGAAGTGTTATTCGTATTGTGCAGTTGTGAAATAAAAATCTCCATTGGTGATATTTGTGTTCAAAATGAATCTAGAAAAAAAGAGTTGATATCATCCGTAAGCTCAACGTGAAACGGTTTTGATAAAGTGTCCGATTGACGCTGGGTTATGTATACGCTAGATACTATTCTAAAGTTCGATCAAGCAAGGTCCAAGCTTAAATTTTTGGAGTCGAGAGATTGAGTTTACTGACAAATCTAAAGCGTAAGTGTAGATTTCCTCCAAGCCAATTGATTCTATTACATTATGAAAATGGCTTATCTAATTAAAAATGCATACAGACAATGCGTCAATGAACAAGAAGATGCGATACGTACGCATATGTATCAGTACCTCATGGGTTGGGCTTACTATACGTCCTCGTATAGACAGGACAGTCTCAATTTTGACGATATGTCCAGCCCGGTTAAAATTATGACAACTGTAGATTATTTTCATTCAAAATTGTCAATACAATTTTGGGTGCTCCCGAAGTATGCGAACCAAAATGGCGGACATTGGAACGTAACATGGGTAACAGGTTAGGGTTAGGCGATATTTTTTTTTTCAATTTTCCTTATTTTAGTCTTATTATCAGTTCGAAGACTAGCCAAGAGCCTCCCGTAGTATTTATACCTAAAATTATGGCCTAACCCTAACCTAGTACACATATTACATTCCGGTGTCCGCCATCTTGGTTCGCATACTTCGGGAGCCCCCAATTTTGTTTGTTTATGGAGGCCAATATCACTGATAAGTCTATTTATCTATTATATTTATGAATATTCATATGAATTGAATATTACTAAGCCTCGGAATCGAACCAAGGTTTGTCCTTGTTTTCTATATATGGTGAGATTTGTTGGAAGCTAAGATTTTTGGTTTGGCCCTCCTTGTTACGAGGTCGATATTATAAAATAATTAATTATTAAGAATCTGAATTGCAGATAACAGTGTAGGGTCTAAAGACGACGATCCTCGACACCGGAAAAGTAAAATATCTAAACATTAATTCAGAGCATATAAATAAATATTTCTAAGATAATCGAATAGGTCAGCGGATAGGTGCTTGTATACCGATACATCATTCATTACTTTTTCACACACACACTTAAATGTCTGATAAGTATAGTAACGTATTTATCCCATTAAAATTATATCTAAATCTGTGCAATCGTCATGTTTTTGCAACAACTAGACTTTGAACATACAGAATCATTTCCTGTTGTTTCGTGTTTTTTTCGGAAACAAACACTTCCCACCGATAATAACTCGTGCAAACAAAACACGGCCTTATTTCTTTACAATGCGAAATGGCTGTTGGCGTATGATCTTTTCTGTCAGGACGCGATATATGCTAATCAGCTTCAAGATAGCAACTCTACTGAAACTTCTGGATCTAGTAGGAATATTTGAGCTGACTATACAGCATAATTTCATAATGTTCAACAAAATCAAACACCGCAATAACAGGGATTGCCTTTGCAAGTTGAATTGTTCAAGTTAGATAGATTTGCAATTGCTGATATACATAAAAGTATTTTTTTTTTATCAGGGCGCATTACGATTTTGCTAAGTGATTTTTGTCAGTAGCGTATCCGGATTGCATTCAAGACTTCAGATCTGATGTATGCGTTCGTCGCCAAGAGATAGTGCTAATAGTAAAGATGCACCAAAGTTCCGATATAAAATTGACCTTTTACCTTTTCTGTAGTGATTAAGTTCCAGATAGTAATAATGATTAGAAAGGGACAGTTGTCTGCTACACGATGCCATGAGGAGAGCCAAAAACAAAGAGATTGCAACAAAAATGTTGTTGAATATAAAGGTAATATTTGATCACATGCTCAGCGTATAGCTCGATTACGAGTATCGTTTCAAAAGTTACTAATTGGAATAAAACACAAACCAATAAAACGTTTTGCTAAGTTGTTGCTGTTGTTAGGGTTCTTGTTGTTGCCCTCGCTTGATATCCATAATATTTATTTAGAAGTATTAAGCGCGTAACACATACAAATCAAATCACGCGCACTAAAATTATGGCCCACATAATATACTCAACAGATTGTGTTGTTTAAACAGACGCAGAAGCACAAACGATCAAAAAGTATCAGAACAGAAAAAATATGGAGCCGAAAGATATTGAAGACGATGATCTGCACGATCAGAACGGTCCGCAAAACTCAGATTCTGGTCGTCTCAATAGGTATATTAGTTGAAGCCCGGATGTTAGATTTTCTGTTGATATTGGAATTACTTCCCGTACTCAGTATTGGTAAGAGTACAAACATCCATCTGAAACTGAAAACGGCTTACAAACCGCAAAGTTTTTGTAGAAATGGAGTTGGGATGGAAATAATATGCATCTGGAGTTATAAGCCTATCTTTGAATCGCTTGGAAGAGTAGTGGTCAGATTCAATTATATCTTCTTCTATTATTATCTAATCTTATTTATAGTTATAAATATCTTATCAGCCTCATAACAACGTATCTTTCGAGTACATGGAACTCACAACACAGCAAAACAATTTCAACAATGAAACGAGAAAAGCAATTATCATGCAGGAAAAAAACGTCTCCAGAAAATATTTCAACTAACGGTATTCATATTTTTTTGGTTATATAGTAATATTAGTTTTTAACCGGCAGAATAAATCGGTAAACGGAACTGAGTTGAGTAAACGAATGTAACCTTATATTTCTTTTTCAAAAGACAAAAACATTCCGCCGATTTCGAATACATTGAATTTTGTGACTATGAGTGAGATATTGCGCATTGACATGCAGTTTCTTTTTTGCCATTTTGTTTACCGTTTGTCCATTTCGGGGCTTGTGTGACGGCGACTGCAAAAATGCTTGAACGAGATATTAATAAAGTAATGAGAATAAGAATGAAATAATCTTTTTCTGCAAAATAGCAAGCACATTCGTTAGGTTCCATTTCAGATCATAGTTCAACTTTTAGGGAACCATATAATTGCGGCAGTTTAACGGAGTTAGCAGGTCAATCTATTTCAACTTTTCTAGGGTTTTTCTTAAATTTTTTCAATAACCCGGCAGAGTCTCATTGGGCCCGGCATTCACTGTTTTATAACGTATGGGAACACTTCATTCCGTCACCATTGTTTGCCGATCTTTTTGGCAAACACGACTAATATGTGTATGTGACTATTTTACGACTCTTTACAGATGTGAGTTGGAAGCTGATTATATCAATCAATCTGTTGATGATCTTGGTTTCATTTGCTGCATGTTGTTTGGTAGTGACTGTTTATTTTAAGGTAGTATTAGGCAAATACATTTATAGGAATATTATGCCGAATGCTTATTTTATTTAATTGGGACTCATTGAATTAAACCATTTGAATCCCACATCCCCACAATCCCCGGGTTCACAAGAGTCTACGAGCAGCGTGTAATATTGCCCTAGCGATGACTTAATGAAGTCACATGAATAAAACCATATTGATTATGCTTGAACACGCACAACATATGATTTCGATGAAAAATATGTATCAATTCTTATTCTAAGACATATATAATATAAAAGTGAACGAGAACAATGCTCGAATACATGGGCGCCAGCTAGTATCGCAATCGTCAACTAATGCCGTTGATTGAGCACTAGCTCGTCTAATTTGTTCAAATGAAAGATGATATTTTTACCCGACATCAACAACTGAAAAAAATTAAATCACGAATTAAGTTATTTTCTGAAAACCGTTGTACGTTTTGATATTCTCTACATTCGGCAAAAGTATATCAATAAGACCTACAGGCAATAATTTTTTCCGTATTTATCTCTTCTCCCTCATTTAAAAGTTATACATATCTACTATAGTAAAAGCCGTTGTAGCACAATTAATATTGAAATGATAAATTGTTTTGTACAGTTTACTTCAATGGGAGAGCATTCAACGTATGATGCCGGTGAGTTAGTATTGGGCTGAGGTGAGCGAATGTACAAATCCGACTCTACCATTTACTACTTTTTATATCAACAGAACCAAATGAGGAATTCATCAAGCTCAGCAAGGGTAAAGTAATTGTGTGTAAATTTTAACGGTAAATTTTAATGGTTTTGAGAGTCCTCTACTCATAATATGAGTTATTATCAGTGTTCCACAGGTAGTTGAAAAATTTTGATTCGACTTTGAGTTGAGAAAAACTTTAACTCCTACCCCTCCAAACTTGAGAAAAATCGAATTTTGTGAATTAAAACTTTGCGTATACACGTCCTTTGAAGAGCGCGCAGTAAACCTAATGCTTTTGTGGCTTCTAAACATAATTGTCTTATACCATTTATTGTATTGAATGACGACTTCGGCAAATTCAGAATTTCGACTCCAACAAATTTGAAAATGCGATTTCACGTTAGGTTGAAAAATTCTGAACTCCACGATCCTATAGTCAATATACTAACAATAAACTGATTACAGATTACCTCAGTAAAATACAAAGAAAAATCAGTGGTGAGCACTTTTATTTGCTTTGTATTCTTTTGTCTTTATTGTTAGCAATTGCACCAAGTAAGTTTAGCCAAGAAACTGTGACTTACAGGGATCCCAAGCAGAGGTATAGTTCAATTAAGCTTTTAACATGATCTGACCCCATAAATAACAGAAAACAAACAAAATATTTGCTGGACATCGAATAAAAACTAAAGAAAGAGTTGTATAATTTTCACACAAACTTTGGGAATAAAACTAAGCAAGCCGTAAATCAACAAAAAATGAGTCGGTGAGTGTCCATGTTATAAAACAACAAACAAGGTAATTCCACGTTTAAATGCTTTTTAATTTAGAAATGATGAATAAACTTGAACATGAAAGTCTATTGTCAGTGGAACTCCCAAGACATCTTCACATAAAAGAATGATAGAATTGTTCCCACAGAACTATAGCCAACGTCAACGTTCATTATATTGCTTTCGATGAGGTGGATTTATGAATGAATAATGTATTTTTTTGATAATAAAGATGGGAGCAGGACGTTTATCAACTATTACTCTTCAATATTAAAATATTGCTCGGTTATTTTTTGTCCCATTGCCATTAATGTTTGAATTATATAGATAAAGTAGGCAGGTACGTGTTTCGAAGTAAATACGGGCCTAGAGAGCAATGCACATATAACTTCCCATGTAACTTCTAAGAACCATATTAATTACCACACGTTCATCGAAATAGCGTAAAACTGATTGTGCGGCACAGATATTGAAACTTGGGAAAGTTGAGATTGTAACAAGGGCTGTATAGTAAAGAAATATATAATCGATACAGTGATTGTAAACGGCAGCCGTTCTTCGTCACACATAAACTACTTATTTTACAAATTCAGCATCATTAATGACCATAATAAATAGACCAGCTTTTTCGAACACCTACGCGTTTATCTCGCCTCGCGAAACACCAAGTAATTAGAAGGTAAAATTAGTAGGTGGAATTTGACACGAGGCCCGTCCGCCATTCCGCTTCTTTGTCGTCAGTTAGAATACAAATCTACGACCCAGAGTCGCCGAAACACGACCCTGATCGCCATGGCGACCAATTTAATAACAGTTTCAAAGAAGCTTATGGAACAGCAGTGTTTCGTGGAATACAGCTTGAGAAACGCTAAAATAGACTAAGGGTCATAGTGAATACATTAACGATTTTTCTCTATTGGCACCAGAGTTGCCATATTGGCTTTTTTACCGTCATTTTTGTCATTTTTATCTTTTTTAAACACGTTTGGCGTCAGAATTTCCGTTTGGCTTTTTTTTAAGTCTATTCTAGTGTCTATCATTAGAGTCATAGGTGATACAATATTCAGTGTGCAATAATAGCCTATTGCTTAGCTACTCAACGTTTGGATTTCCCCGAGCATCGACTTCCTTGTTTATTACCTTAACGCTCAACCATAACCAATCAGAAATAAGTCAACAATGACGTAGAAATTACAGTTTCAGGAGCCTCTCCGACAGATGTTCAAGCAGGGTTGTAAACATTGCCTCCTTTTTATAGTTTTGCGTGTTATTTGCTAGTTTTATGTTCTGTTCCCAAAAAATGGTTGTATAACGTACGGTAATTGTCATTATGCTTTCCGATGAGCTTTAAGTTAAGTGGCAATATTCAAAACTTAGTCTCACGAACGATGTGATTTACTACACTTAAATTAGCTATTAGTGAACCACCTGTAGGTACGTTTTAATATTCTCTACATTTGGCGGAAGACCTAAAGGCAATTATTTTTTTCCGTAGTTTATTGGATCTCCGCTCTAAGAGACACTTATTATCAGTCGTTCTGTCTGTCCGTTTAGACTTTAGATGTAGCGTCTTAACGGCTGGACTAATCCGGATGAAATTTTTCACGTGTATTATTCTGTCACTAGTTAAGTAATGAGCGTTTCATAGAAAGTCCGGATTGAAGTTTCGTTCCCATGGTAACAACAAAAAACGCGCTGATCTTTATGAAATTTTTAGTTTTTTTCAAAATTTATCATCATTTTCTCGCCAACGAAGTCGAAAATCGAAATTTCAAGAACGCTACCTTCCGCATAGCAAAATCCTCTTTTCAATAAGTCGTCTTCGGTCTCGATACTCCTCAAACTGGAGCAGCCTTAGGGATTTTAGTGAACATCGTTTTTTTTTAAATTTTTAACCACTGTATATACGAGTCACGCGAGTATGTCAACGGAACGCGCAGCGTTCAAAATGAACTGTTATCATTGGTAACAACCCGCTCACTTTCTGAATCGAGCTGCCGTTGAGATCCTCAAGTTTCGATGGATGGTAACCGGTTGCTTGAGTGCGGGCCTCAACTATCAGCGGAGATCCTGGGCGCCTGTCGGCTTGTCTCTTCTCCCTAACTTAAAAGTACATATCTAATACAGTAAAAGCTGTTGTAGCTCAATCAATAATAAAACTATATTTTGTTTTGTATAGTTTACTTCAAAGGGAGAGCATTCAACATATGATACCGGTGAGTTTGTAATAGGCTGCAGTTAGATATCTTAGATATCGTGTTGGGAATAGAGATCGATATATGGCCACTGGTAACTATTGAAAATGACTTAATTATCACTACATAGGTTAGTTTAAGAAGCGGCTGCGGTTTCCTCTCCTACTCGTTTATCTGGAATATTTAACTGGTTACCTAGTTCCGTACCCAATCAGGACTGGTAATCGGACAAAGGTTCCTTATATTACATGTGGTAGAATTAAACTTTTTGTCTCCCAGAAATAGTGTACGAATCCTACTTTACCATATATTATTTTCAAATTTCCAGGACCAAGTGAGAAATTCATCAAGCCGAACAAGGGTAAAGTAATAGTGGGTAATTCTATAATACACGTTTTATACTAACCAGTAACTAGATTTCAAAATGGACATTTAAACATTATATAGTAAGTAAAGAATGTTCGCTTGGCTGAAATTGCAAGTATTTTTAGTATAATATGTTTAACTGACTATTGATCTATTATTTGCAGCCGTATCTTGTTTTGACTGAAGAAGTTTGTCTATAATCGAATGAAAGCTCCCAAATATAATTGATATTTCATGGAAAAAAAATATTTTTTTTTTATTTATTTAATAATTAAGGAGTGTGATCGACATGCTGATTTTTACGTTTAATGTATAACAGAAAATATTAAAATCTACTACTACTTGCTACTCTGTCGGGGTTGCAGAAAAAATTCAAAATCAATTCACGACTTCTAGTTGGAAAATTTTGATTTGACTTTGAATTAAAAAAACCTCGCCTACTCCTCCAAATGCTAAAAAAATTTGTGAACAAAAACTTTGCGTATACACGCCATGCAAAAAAACGCGCAGTAAAGCCAAAGCTTCAGGGGTTTCTAATGAAAAGTTTGTTTTCTACCATTTATTGTCGTAAACTCCGACTCCGGCGAATTCAGAATTTTGACTCCAACGAATTTAGAAATGCGACTTCAGCTTAAGTGGAAACATGCCAAAATCTAACTCCACGATTCTCTCCCAATATACCTATTCAAACTTTTTTTGCAATTAACTAAGACTAAATTGATCACAGACTATCTCAGTGAAATATAAAGAAAAATCAGTGGTGAGCAGTTTTAATACTTTCATATTTTTTGTCTTTATTGTCATCGATTCCCCCAAGTGAGTTCAGTCGGGAAAGGTGACTCAGAGGGATTCAAAGCAGAGGGTAGATTATTTATGCTATAACTTAGTTTAGGATAACATATGACTCCATAAAAATATAAAAATCAACAATATATTTGCTGGGCATACTCAACAACATCAAATAAAAACTGTAATCGCATTGATAAATAGGCAGGAACGTGTTTTATAGAAAATACTGAAAAAACTATAAAGTAATACACAAATATATACGGTATTGAAGCACAATTACTCTGTCGCCATGCCACACCTATGTAAACACGCGACGTTCATTGATTTTTTTAAAACGCCACCTTTTTATTCTGTAATGAATTACCTAAGATTCTCCAACAACTGTTTATATGATACTTGTAGTGGGACTTCTGTCACAATATGCCCCTTATGCTATCTGATCTACCTCTTCACATCAGCTTTTGTGTTCATACTCAAGATTTTTCTTGCAAAAATTCTGTTTAAACAATACCACTGGTCCAAGAACTAAATTCTAACCTTAGCTCATGGGAATCGAGAAGCTTCCACCCTCACGTTCCTACAGTTCTGTGTCGATATCTAGAAATATCTTCTATAAACAAAGAAACGTCCACTTTTTTACCCTCTGATCTCATTGTCTTACATCTTAATATTAGATCTCTGGGTAAATACGCTGATCATCTAATTCTAATGGAACTGATTTCTCACTTCCGTATCCTGCCACAAATTATCGCTCTGAGCGAAACCAGAATCAAAAGTCAGTCCACTGTTACCAATGTGGACATTCCTGGCTATGTCTTTATCCATGCCCCCTCCCCAACGCAAGCTGGTGGTGTAGGTATCTATATCAAAAGTAACATAGAATACCATATTCTTCAAGATTTTAACTTATCTTTTCAAAATTGTGAGGACATGTGGATTGAACTCAAGTATTCTCAACCAAACTCAAAAGCCAAAAGCTTAGATATGGGGGTAATTTATTAGCATCCGCATCGCAATATTCCATCTTTTATTGAAGCCATGGCTTTTTTATTTGACAAGTTAGCGAGGGCAAAAAAGCAATTTTTAATCCTAGGTGATCTTAATATCAACCTTCTAGACACCCACGATACTCCCACTTCCAATTATCTAGATATGCTTTTATCCCACTTTGTATTTCCAATTATCACTAGACCCACTCGAGTAACTTCATCCTCCCACACCTTAATAGATCACATTTACACCAACACCATAAAATCTTGTTCATCATCATTTATTATTCTTAGTGATCTCACTGATCATTTCCCTATTATGTGTACACTATCTTCATCCAGTCCTAGAGTTAAAACAGAAACACGCATGAAACGTGACATGGCCAATTTTTCTACTGACACATTCAGATTAGAAGTCGAGTTGATGTGCAACCGTTATATTGGTGAAATCTTATCTGAACAAAATTTTAATAGCTCATTCGATCTCTTTCTCAACCATTTTAAGTGGTTAATTAGCAAACATGCACCACTCCGCCCACTTTCACGTAGAGAAAATAAATCGTATTCTAAGCCCCGGATTACCAGGGGAATCCATAAGTCAATCAAACACAGAAATAATATGTTCAGGCAAATGTATCTGAAGGGAAATGCATCCCAGCGTCTTCACTACAAAAAGTACAAAAACATTCTAACTCATTTGCAGAGAAAATCGAAACAACAGTATTACCATAATATTCTAGTGAACAACAGAGGCGATGTGAAACGCACATGGCAAACCATCGAAGACATCATCAAAATTAAGTCAAGAGATAACACCACCATCTCAGAATTAATACTAGAAAATAGTACCACAGTTTCTGATCCAGTTCAAGTGGCCACCGAATTTAATAAATTCTTCTCAATCATAGGGAACAAACTTGCAGATAAAATCGCACGTTGCTCAAAACCATGTACCGAATTTCTAGGTGTACCTTCGCAGAACTCTTTCTTTCTTGAATTAACAACACCTTCGGAAGTTCTCTATGTAATCAGGAACCTGAAAAAGAGTAAAGCTGTTGGGCCCGATGGTATTTCCTCCTATTTCCTAACAATAGTTGCCGATATTATATCACCGGTACCAAGTCACTTTTTCAATTCATCGTAGTCTAGGAATATATCCTTCCTCATTGAAAATGGCTAGAGTAATACCAATTTTTAAATGTGGTAAAAAGAATAACCCTTCGAACTATAGACCAATCTCCATTTTATCCTCAATTAGCATCATAGCGCAAAAGTTAATTTATACTAGAATAATGAGTTATTGTACCAAATTTAATTTGATAAACAAATGCCAATTCGGATTCCAGGCCAACCACTCAACCAGTCATGCCATACTTGATTTGACTTCATTTATCTATGATAAAATAGACAAAGGCGACTATGTCTGTTGTGC